CTAAAGTCTTGAAATTTCTACACCAAATAGCGTTTTTCAATAGCTTCAATTTGATATATAGCCCAACGTTCAGTGTTGAGTATTTCTGCTCATAACTCAGAAAAACTAAAATGCACTGGCTTCAATTTACCCCCTGAGTTAGCCTTCCAGTTTATTTAGTTCAATGCTTTCACCTCTAAGTGTGTGGGTTCGACTCTCGCTACGGACTTATGAGTTATGTGAAAAAAGTCAGTCAACGCTGCCGAAAGTCGTAGCTCAGTTATGACAACAGAAGTTCTTTTTAGTGAAAGTAAATCAACAATTGGTCTCCGTGTCAATCCTATCGTTGGCGATGGTGATATTAAAGAATTAAGGTTGGTTCTTTCTGTAGTATATCATATACTGTAATAGGTATAATAATAATACATAATTCATAAATTCGAACGGTCTGCGCCCGCGTACGTAGTGACAATAACAGCAGAAAGCTGCGTATTGAGAGGGATAGGCAACTTGCATGTTACCAAAGCATCATGGGAAAAATGGTAACCTTCACTTGCGCGCGAAATGGCCGCCGTAGAGCGAGCATTTTGCATGTGAGAAATATAGTTTATTTTTAACACTTTTTTCGTAACGTTTGAAAATTTTAAAACAACCTGAAAAATGCAAGTAAAGCTTTGACGTTTCGAGCGAAAGCCAATCATATCATAGGATTTCAGAAAAATCAGCGATTAATTTTAACCCATCGATGCGCAAGACGTTTAAACCACTTACGATTAAAATCATCTGGTGTTAGACAGAGTAAAAAGATAAGTTCGGCTGCGGTTGGGCCATCACAATGTGTGGAAAGGTTTAATGATTTTCTTCCATCTGTCAAAGATTTGTCAATATAATATTCATTTTACTGCCAGGGTCGCCCAGGGGGGGGGGGGCAAAGGGGCAATTTGTCCCATGCCTCAGGCTTAAGAGGGCCGCCAAAAAGGACTTTTACGGAGTGGAAGGGAGGGTATTTTGCCCCGCGCTCCACAAAAGCTCTGGGAGGCCCTGTTCCCTGCAAAATGCAGCAACCTTCTGGGCCGTTTTCACCGTTTTTCTGATACACTGAAAAAAACACTGTAAAATGTTTTTGGTTAAACTAGAAATAACCCTTAATATATTCCTCGGGCCGCGGTTGCTCAAAAGCTGGTTAGCTTAATCCTACGTAGGTTAACGAAAAATTTCGAAGCAAATTTCCAGCGTTTTGTTTACAAACATGGAAATATTTTTCCAGAAATCTTATTTGGATCAATAGAGCTTGAATTGTACAGTGAAATTTTGAGATAAACGGATATGCACAAGGCTAAATTTTAATCCAGGGTTAGCGCTAAACAAGCTTTCAACAACCGCCCCCTGGTTTAATTTCCGTGGTTATTGAACCCTTTTCCTACTAGTTAGAAATGATCTTTATTTTCAGCTGTGCATCTGAGACTTCAAAATTTGGCATCCCGGTAGGTAGAAACGCCATTCTATAGCTAACCTGGTTTTGCAATTTACAAATTTCGAATGTTTTAAACGTGCATGGACAAGCAAAATAATTTTAAAGATGTTATCATTAACTTTGCTAGATGACTGAGGAATTAAAGAAGAAAATCACTGAATATTACATTCAACATTCGTGGCTAACTGCCTTGCATGTGCATATCGGATCTCAGGTTGGTTTTAATATTACACCTTCAAGAATCTTTTAGTCAGATCAGTAAGTGGAGTGCATGCAACGTAAGCTTATCTTAGGGACCGGTCATTATTTCTGGTGGGGGGTGGCACCGAAGAGAAATGTTTTTCGTGGCAAAAATTTTGCTGACCCAACCATTAAAAAATCAAAAATATGATTACCCAACCTCAAGTATCATTTAAAAAATAAATACCCACCCCTGGCCAAAAACGTTACAAAAGGATGTCATTCAGTTGTCACACATGGCACAAGTCCTTCACCACTTCTGTGATACGTTTGATAACGTTCGGCTTGTGAATGTTTGATAGTTTGATAACGTTCGGCTTGTGAAATTTACTGACTTTTCTGCAGTCTAAAGTTTCATGTTGTCTGCACATTTACTTTCTTTGGATACACCATTTGTCTCCCAACAAATCGGAAAATGATGAAGATATAGATTGATTCACATATTGTATTGACATATGACTGTTGACATTGAAGTTTTCAGTCTTCAATATTTGAGTGAGTCATGCTTTGGAAATGACAATAAATTTTTATTACCCAACCTTTGAGTTGTTTCGTTTGTCATTTACCCAACCTTTTACTCACTCAAAATTTTGTTTACCCAACCCTTTTCTCTTCGGTGCCACCCCCCGCCAAAAATAATGACCGGTCCCTTACTACATCATTTTGCATGCATGTCATCAGTGCCGTCGCGAGGAACTCATTTCAGGGGGGTGTTTGGTTAAATCTACCTGAAAGTATCAAAATTGCAAATTTTACCTGAAAAATATTTTTCCAAAAATTATTTCTTGCAACTTCCGCCCCCCGGTCGCCAAAAAATTTTCGGTCAGTAAAAAAATTTTTCCGGACATATCAAAATTTTTCGCAACATAGCAACATAAAAAAAAATTTCCGGACATAACAACAGGCCAGATCCGCCCCTGGTTGGCGGTTAAATGCAAGCGATAGTTATAACTGTCATTAACTCTCACCCTTGTTTGACCTAGGCTATATATAAAGTTATTTCATATCTTCTTTTAATTTAGTCATTTGATGGAGAACAATTATCTAAGGGATTGAAGAAAGCAGTTGCATTAGCTTTGGTAAGTTTTGTAATATATACAGCATTACAGCGTGAGCGGCCGTGTTGTTTCAGATATGCAAACTTAAAGGCGAGTGGAAACACGAACGCAAATGCTTTATAGGTTGTGTTGTGTGAAAAGCAAAGGCCCGCTTATATAGTTTCAATTTTTGCAGCGGTTTCTAGTGTTATTCTCCTCTTCTGGTGCATGTGAACGAATAGATGAATTATGCATGAATGACAGAATGTTTTGAGTTAGCCTGCGAACAGGCAGTTCTGAGTATGTGCACCCTCATCTGAACATCCATAGCTAATCTACCGTCTACCCATTCACATCCATCAGAAGAGGAAAATTGATTCTTTTGAATAATTCATGAATTATTAATGAGACAATAGGGCCATTTATACGGGACAAAATAAGTCGCGACTTACATAAGACGCGTCTTATATAAGCGGAGTTATCGCATAAATGGTTCTCTACTGCTTTATTCTTATTTACTTGCTATACTGTAGCTATAATGTTGTTTCGGTTGTTTTAATATGCAAGGCTAATAATATTACGTTGTTTCAAGTTTCGGGCATGTGTAGTTAGAATTTTTGAACAGCTAAAAGTCCTGTTCTTATGTAAGACACGTCTTATCCAAGACGCGTCTTACATAAGAATGTTGTACCTTTTATACGACAAACTCGCGTCTTATTTAAGTCGCGTCTTATGTAAGTCGCGTCTTATTTTGTCCCATATAAATGGCCCTAATGAGTTTTACAATATTTTGTACAAAGTATTTTATGAAAATATCGTCCTTGTGTATACAGCAACACGTATGATTAGACAGCACGTATGATTAGACAGCACGTAGGCGGCGTAACGGGGGACTAGGAGGGGTATAGCCCCTCCAGAAATAAAAGTGGGGCTAAGCTCCCCCCCAAAAAACAATTAGTTTCAAATTGGCAATTCCAGCTTTTAGTTTATACCTGCAGGGGATGATGGGAAGTAAGGTATCATATTGCTGATTATGCTAAAAATTTCAATAAAAACTACCGAAGCAACCGAAATATTTCAATATTTACAAGTATAAGCTATCACTCCGTGTTTACACGGCCACAATTTTTATTTTTTCAGCATAATCAGCAATGTGATACCTTACTTCCCATCGTCGCCTGTACGCATAAACTAAAAGCTGGAATTGCCTATTTAGAAGTTTATAAAATGGAGGAAAATTTTTTAGCCCCTCCCCCCTCCCCTCATCGCCAACTTGGCAACATTTCCGAGGAAAAATTTATATGTTGCACAATCTTTTGTAATTATTTTCCCCCCAAAACAAAAACTTTCCTGCCGCCTTTCAGACAACATTTATTAAATCGGTTTCGCCATGTTTAGAAAATCAATGGAAAAGTTGGTCGAAATCAAGTCTGCGTTTTCGATATTGGCGGAGGATATCCAGTAAGTTTTCTATTGCAATAAACAGTGGACCAATAGACCCGAAATACGTTGTATTTGTCAAGAACAGTAACACCAAGTCGAGGCTTATAGTGCAAGAGGCTTCGGTGGTGTAGTCGTCAGGGCAAGCGCCTTTCCCCTTTGCAGGCTTTCTTGCCATCCTACTTTTCCTACTTTTTCCTACTTTTCTTCAACTTTCCTACTTTTCCTATTTTTTATTAAAAATTGCTTGATTTTCCTACTTTTTCCTACTTTTTCTCATAAAATCCTACTTTTTTAAGACAGCTTGGGGAATCAGTATGTTATAGCTCTCGTAATTAGATCTACAGGACTCGTAATTTTTATTCCCTATTTGTGTCCCAGATGATGTACATTTTGCGAGTATAAAATTTCATAGCATCTCTAGAATCATAATCAATAAATTAATGAAGACTCTGAAAGTGCCATTTCCGACGATCTAGAGATTCCAAATATTCAACTCCCCCCTCCCCCCCCTCAGTTAATCAAGCATCATACAGTATATATGCTCCTGCCGCAGTGTGGATTGGTGCATTGTGTAGCCCAATACATGCATTTGAATTGTGTTGCTGCAGAGCCGATGCCTTAGCTTTTATACCTATACAATTTAAAAGTTTTGAGAAAAAAATCCTGCATAGATGAATGAGTACATAAAAATATTGAGCACCAAAAATTCACACAACTTCCCCATCAGATATCTAATGGTCTACCCCTTACCACATATATCCTAGGGGCCAATTTTGTATATTTTTGTGTTATTTGCATCTCCAAAACTCCTACTTTTGTCCTACTTTTCTACACATTTTCCTACTTTATTCCTACTTTTCCTAAAATTCTAGTCCTACTTTTATCCTACTTTTCTACACAAGGATGCCAGAAAGCCTGCCTTTGAGATCTTGGGTTCGATTCTCGCTAGTGAAAAGGAGTCAGTCAACGCTCTGCCGAAAGTCGTGGGTTTTCTCCGGGTGCTCCCGTTTCCTCCCATAGGGAAAGTTGACAGGGTGGGTTAGGACAGACACAGTTAAGAAAGCATTATCACAATTGTTGTAAAGATAAAATAGTATGATACGGGAAAAAACAGAAATAATGTTAAAGTCCTTCAAATGGTTTTTACTTGGTGTACTCTCGCCTAAAGTTTTGTATAAAGTTCTTTTATTTTATTTTATAGGTAAATAGAAAAGATGATACCATAACACCCACATTTTACGAGTATGCCGACATCTTAAGAGTGAGTCATTCAACTCAATCATAGTAAAGTTTTAACGTTTGTTAATACATGCTTCTGGAAAGTACGTCACCTTGGCTATAGAGCCTCGCTTTCGTAATGTGAGCAGATCTTGCAGCCCCGGCCTTGCCCACTATATTTTAGCGGCAAACTGCACAATAAGGTACCGCTGAAACAAATTCAACGTTCGCAACTGGTCAGGGTTAGGTTTGAAATTCTATTTAAGTCTTTCGCTCGAAATTTCCATCAACAACGCCCTTCTCATATGATAAGTTTTCTTTATAGAAAGAGATACCTGAACTGTTCCCGGAGTATGGTGTGTTCAAAAAAGTGGTAACAGAATTTGGTCAAGCTTTGAATGCCAAGGTGATTGTAATCATTGGAGTAAAACCTTCAACTATACATGTACTTTTTGAATGAAGTTTCAGACCTCCAGACACCTCCCCCCCCCCCTATATTCAGGTTTTAACCCTTAAAAAGTAAAAACCCTCAGCCCTATATATACAAGCACTTTTTAATGAAATTTCAGAGGCCCAGACCACCCTCCCCCTCTTCTATTCAGGTTTTAACCTTAGGCAATTTTAACCGTGACATTCAGGCAGGTTGGTTGGCGAGCAGAGTGGAATACGTAAAACCATCTGGAAATGAAGAACTCCGGATTGCTCTCACCCACGTTGGAGCGGTAAGTCAAAGTCCGATAATTTAAAGTGCGACTAACCCCAAATATAATTGCTGGCAGGGTCTTAGCTAGGATTTTATATCTTGGGCGTGTTTCTAAATGACCAACGCGTGCACATGTCAATTACCTTGAATAGCCAAATTCACGGTTCTAGTTATGGCTAGCCAACAACAGACAATGCCTGTGGTTGTTCCATGCTTTGGAACCAAATACAAGGCGAGCATACGCTCATATTGTGCACTGACATTAGAATCTTAAGTTATTTCAGCAACTCTTGGGGGTAATATTTAAAACCATTTTACAGTAACACCATATCCATCAAAACATTAAAACATCACGGATCAGTTTTGCCAATTTCAACAACTACAGTAGATTTTACTTCCTTACGACATAAATATAGAAAGAAATTATGTCTGTTGTAAGCAGTAACACCTCATTTTTTTGAACCTACACGGCCTTATATAAATAATGAAGCCGTGTTCATTTTATCTAGCCGTGTTTTTCCATTTTTGGCCGTGATAACACGGCCAACACGGCCCTCTAGCTAAGACCCTGATTGTTGGCATGTGTAATATCTAGGTCATTCTAAGAAGAAACGTAATGTATCATTATAGTAAAAAACCTCATCTTGATCAACTTTTTCACTGTCAAAGTTTGTGGATGTGATGTCAATATGTCATTAGGTGAATTTTTGGTACAAAAAACAAAGGGAAACTAATTTGCAATTCATCTTGTGACATCATATCCGGAAACTTTGACAGTGGAAAAGTTGATCAAGATGGAACTTTTTATTATGAAGATATATTGTATTTATTCTTCAAATGGCCCAAATATTACACATACCAAAAATCATATTTGTGGTTAGTCGCACTTCAAAATTCTAGCTGCAGTGCACAGTACATCACTGGTGCTAGGGATGTACCTGATCTAGTTTCCGGCCGGTTACACTCTACAAACATTTAACATTCTGGTTAAAATTTTCTGGTTAACCTAGAAATATCACTGTTTGGTCTAACTTAATATTCCTGGTTATTTTCTCTCACTTCCTACCAATAAATTCGCAACGCATGTTGAACCCTAATCTAACGCCGACTCTAACCCCAATCGCTAATTCGCTATTTTTTTTTTAATCTTTACTGAAGATATTAAAAATACTTCAAAAACTCATTAATAATTCATGAAGCAATGATCCAATCTTGAGTAAGAAATTAGTCACGTGCATACGTCTTTATACCAGCTAAAGAACACTTTAACAAAAGACCATTGTTATGCAAACTATATATAAAGATTTTTATATAAAAATTTTTATATAAAGATTTTTATATAAATATTTTAATTAATATAAAGATTTGACTTATTATGCAAACGTTTTTGAAGCCATTTAAAAAACTCGCAGGTCGTGTTTTATTAGGTCTAAAGCCACTCGCGCTGCGCGCTCGTGGCTTTAAACCTAATAAAACACTCCTGCTCGTTTTTTAAATAGTACATGAAATCACAGTTTCCTGAAATTGCGTTAGACAATAATTGCGTTAGACAATGAAGGATGACAAATGTATACAAACGAAGTCGAATTTTGATGCAACGAATTTTAGTGACCACAAAGCCGATCACTCTGAGTCATCGTTCGACGTTTTGCTGTGCTTTTATGATGCATTGTATAACTTTTTCACAGGATTTGTGTATGCGAACATGCTACCTTCCTCAGCAAAAGAAATACCAGGTACAGTAATTATTTTTCTGTGGACGGTGATTTTTCTTTGATATGCGACTGTCAGACGACATTGTAATCAGGAAACTGTATATGTTGCGTGGGGTGAAAGGCGAGTAGATAGTCTCTTAAAGTATGGTATAACTACAATTTTGTATGATTTGTTTCAGCGAAGAGTACGTGTATTCAACAACAATGGCCAGGCAAAGACAGGAACGGTTAGAAAGTAAATTTGTCTTCGAAATCAACACGAATCCCTTTTTGAGTCCCCCCTCTCTTCAATAACCCCCTTCCCCTCAAACTACGTACGTATCTGAAATAAACTTAAGGTATGTAATATAAATGGTGGGCTTATATATGCATACACTGATACAGTCAGCGTTATCGTATATAAGGCCACATTTCTTGGTTGGATTATGGATTATCCCAAGTGCATGGCCATGGATGCCGCTATCCTGCACGGAAAACCGTTAGGTAATTGTTCTATAAAATGACTAGTGTGAACAACGGTTAAAGTTCATTGGCAATAAAAAAATAGTTTAGTTCATTTGAAAGAACTTTTAAAACTATATATTGAATTCTATTACAGATTGTTTAAACTGTATCTTGCTTGGCAAACTGGAATTCGATTGGGCACCATTTTGTTTTTGTAGAATTTAGCCCGCCATTTTATTTTCGACATGACAGGTCAATTCATTTTGCCTGCCATTTTTGAAATATGGCCTGCCTTTGGCCATTGGCAGGCCGCTATTTCGAGCCCTGAAATTTGACCCCAGGACGTCTCTTTTGGGGACATTTTGAATTTACAGTGTAAAATTTTTCTCATTGCCATTATCGTTTAAGTACATGGGGTATTCTTTGTTTTGAACGAATCACAATACAATCAGTTCTTATAACTACAGCTGGTTGATATCTATATTGCAGGAAAAACGCTACAATATTGCTGGGCCTTTGTGCTTTTCGGGTGATGTGTTAAAATATGATGCCCTTTTACCAGAGGTTTGTTTCTAAGTCTATTTTTTCTTTCATGCGACCAATTATCTGTCATGGAAACCTTTTGTTTTACATATATTGCATGTCTTTCTTCTGCCGTGCAGGTCGAAAGAGGAGATTACCTTGTTTTGCTTGATTGTGGTGCAAATTCTTTGTCGGTTCTAAACAGACATTGCAGTCGATTTGCTCCCTCCGTTTTTGGTATGTTATATAATTGTTGTTTGTTGCAGTGATTTGTGGTTCCATACCAAACAAACGGAACCGATTTCCTCCTGTGGTAACACTAGATTAATAGTAAATGATGAACCTCAGGCAATTTTTTCTTTTCCTGTAGTAACACTAGATTAGTAGTAAATGATGAACCTTAGGCAATTTTTTCTTTTTCTGTGGTAACACTAGATTAGTAGTAAATGATGAACCTTAGGCAATTTTTTCTTTTCCTGTAGTAACACTAGATTAGTAGTAAATGATGAACCTTAGGCAATTTTTTCTTTTTCTGTGGTAACACTAGATTAGTAGTAAATGATGAACCTTAGGCAATTTTTTCTTTTTCTGTGGTAACACTAGATTAGTAGTAAATGATGAACCTTAGGCAATTTTTTCTTTTCCTGTAGTAACACTAGATTAGTAGTAAATGATGAACCTTAGGCAATTTTTTCTTTTTCTGTGGTAACACTAGATTAGTAGTAAATGATGAACCTCAGGCAATTTTTTCTTTTCCTGTAGTAACACTAGATTAGTAGTAAATGATGAACCTTAGGCAATTTTTTCTTTTTCTGTGGTAACACTAGATTAGTAGTAAATGATGAACCTCAGGCAATTTTTTCTTTTCCTGTGGTAACACTAGATTAGTAGTGTATAAATGATGAACCTCAGGCAATTTTTTCTTTTCCTGTAGTAACACTAGATTTGTAGTAAATGATGAACCTTAGGAGGCAATTTTATCATTTCCTGTGGTAACTAGATTAGCACGCTTATAGAAATCCATGCAAGTTTTAGGAAATACAAAAACGTTTATTCTAACATCATATTGCAGGCTATCGTACAACAAAAAATGGCGAAGTGAATTTTGTTGTTTTAAAGGTTGGTATATAATAAATCTTTAATTAAAGATTGCGCTTTCCGAGTCGGTTTAAAATTCCATCTTAGCACTCTATAAAACCAGAAATGAAAAGAGCAGATCAAAATTAGTAAGTGCACAAAATTTGGAGACTATATTTTAATAACCTAGGCACCTAGTTGAGTATTTTTAGAACCACTGAGTATTTTAATAAAATACAAAACAAGTGAAACTCCAAAAATCGATAACATTTTTATTTATCTACGTTTCGACTATATTTCAGTCATCATCAGTTTGTCATCTGATGATGACTGAAATACAGCCGAAACGTAGATAATAAAAATGTTATCGATTTTTGGAGTTTCACTTGTTTTGTATTTTAGTTAAGTATGTTTGGGGGATTTTAAAGTACTGTATCACTCATAACTCAATTTCAGAACCATCCTCAGAGATACGAAAAACTAGTTTCATATTAATCTGAAACTGCTCGATTGCAGTGTCAGATTAATATGAAACTAGGTTTTCGTATCTCTGAGGATGGTTCTGAAATAGAATTGAAACACTGCGCGTCCTCTAAGACAAGCGTTAAAGTCGTAACGAAAATATTTCGTGCATTAAATTGGATAAGACTCGCTACCAATCCCTATTGACTCGATAGCTCAATAGGTAGAGCGGCGGTGTAGATACCCGAAGATGCGAGTTCAAATCCCGCTCGAGCCAACGAATTTTTCGTTTGTCTATTGCAGTGTCAGATTAATATGAAACTAGAGTAAATACTCATAACTCAATCTGACGTATTTCGAAAAATTATGGATCAAAGCACATGCATAGGCCTACGTACTTAGCAAATTGTCACAGAAATTTTGATAATAGTATGCCGAGTGTCAGTATAATACCCAGATCCACTTGGTATATTTCTTTTTTTCAGGAAGCTGAAACAAAAGACGAATTGCTCAAATTTTTGGGAGGTACAGTACCACTGTAGCGAAAAGCAAAATAATTTGTAACTCGTTTGATTACATCGTATCTTGAAAAAAATGACCGCCAAAAAGTTTATCAAGATGTTTTTTTACTATGAAGATATATTACATTTCTTCTCAGAATGACACCCTTACAGAAAAAACCCTACTTCTACGCCTCATGCTTTGCAATCCTATTCTATTGCAATCCTATTCTAATCAAAATAATAGTCAATAACTGTTCTTTAGCTAGCTCTAATATCCAAATCCAAAATATAATTCTGCATGACCTTGATTATTACTCTAATCCTTACTCTAATGACGAGGAAATTCAAATACTAATAATTTAAGCATCAATCTTCGAAAACAAAAGTTACAAAACTGCTTCATTTGGAAAAGATAAATATTTTATCTTTGTTTAGGAGGGAAGAATGAAGACAAATGACTGAACATATATTACTTACAGAATATATAGAGATAATTATCCAAGGAGGTATAATATTTGAGAATATACCAGGTTTGTGCAATGTAATAGACCATTTCCGAATTACGCTCTAATTGTCAAGAGCAATAACACCAATGTTACAATTTAGTGCGAAGCGTCATTCTCATGCTTTTGTCTGAGGGTGTTCAACCATAATTCGGAAATGGCCTATTTTATATGGTGCTAATATAAATTGTATTCATAACAAACATGCACCTATTCATAATCGTGTTTTAATCAACACAGAAACGTATTCCTTTGCCTATTACCTATCATTTCTTGCATTAAAGTAGAGCATTCCTCGCCAAAATTGAAAACAAAGCTCTCAAATCAAAACCAATTTAAAATTGATTGCAATTCACTAATAGACAACTGTTTTCGTGTTTGATTACATAAAATTATACGTTTTAAAAAAAGAGGTCTGTTCAAACATACCTGTATTAATATATCAAGAATTTTGGTTCCTTTCCTGATATATTTTTGAATACATGATGAAATGTATTCTTAAGGACATTTTGAATGGAAAGAAAACAGACACAACGTGAAATGTATTCTTTTATTCACATAAAGTAACAGTTTTACAGATTCTGTTTCCATGCTTCCTTCAGTAAAATAATTTAATATTCTTGACATATCACGTATTGCACAATAAGTTGTCATTAAATATAACCTATATAATTTTATTTAGGAGATTAAATAGCAGGGTCTCCCTAATAGAGAGATAACTGTAAGTAGAGAGATGTCTGTGTTAGAGAGATGTGTCTGTAATGGAGAAAGGGGTACACAGTCTGTGTTGGAAAGAGGGGTCTGCATTAGAGAGAGGTGCCTGTATCAGAGAGAGGGGTCTGCATTAGAGAGAGGTACCTGTATTAGAGAGAGGGGTCTGCATTAGAGGGAGGTGTCTGCATTAGAGGGAGGTGTCTCCATTAGAGGGAGGTGCCTGTATTAGAGAGAGGGGTCTGTATTAGAGAGAAGTGCCTGTATTAGGGAGAGGTGTCTGTATTAGAGAGAGGTGTCTGCTTAGAGAAAATTATTTTATTCTAGGAAGCATGTAAACAAAGCTGAGTAAAAGTTTTGACAGTTTCTTCAAGTGGAAGAATAAAAAAATTCACATTTGTCCACTTTAAAAGTTGAAAATGAATTAAACCCTTTAAGTGGCAATGCACTCTGATGTGCCCCACTACTGTTTTATTTATACTCTGTCTAATGCCAGATGATTTTACTCGTCAAGAGGAAAGTGCTGCCACTCAATGGGTTAACAACTGTAGACAAATAAATTAAATGTAACTAATTTTCAATTAAATATATTTTTATTAAATTATTTTTTACTCTTGAACTTGAGATGCTGCATTATCAACAACTTTGTTAATTTCGGGATTTAACCAGTCCAGAGATAGGTCATCTAAATGATTATCAAAATCCACCAGACTTGGGTAGGCTTTGCCAATCATCAATTGTGATACAATACTCAGTGTTTCATCATCAGCTAGACAACTAGATATATTATAAAAAATATTGTGAGTAATAAAATTTTTTTGCTGTCATACTAATTGACTAAACCCAATGGGTATTTCTCTCAGGAAATATTGGAAATTTTTTGGCAGAAAAATGGTTATATGGCACTTTATTTTTAAATAATCTTGATTAGATTGTTATAATTTACAGGCCGATTTTGTATGTATGATGTCGGCCGTATTGAAAAATGCAATCAGTTTTTATGAACAAATATAATCAGGTTTGTTTCAACTGCAAATAATGTTAAAGAATACTTACAGGTCTTTCTCATTGTATTTCCATTTATTATCTTGAAGGTGATATAACTGTTCAAAAAATAATATGAAAAAGTCACCATAAATGAACTGCCAGGTTTTTTGGAATAAAGAATACATTGCACCTGTAACAAATTATGTAAGAATTCATTACTGTACCTTACAGGCTTGAAATTCACACTCAAAACCCATTTTCTTGTTATCAACCTATTCAGTGAGAATCAAAGTGCATTCATTTTGTTCATTATGGAGACTATTAAATCACTTGGCAATCTCGTTCCCCGAGCCTGCGATCCTCGGGAAGGAACGCGAGGCTCTGGGATAATCCGTTTCAGGGAGGAATCTGATTGGCCGTTGAAATGGAATGCGTAGTTCAATCTTAGCCACAATTCCTGGCTTCCGGCAACAGATTATCCCAGAGCCTCGCGTTCCTTCCCGAGGATCACAGGCTCGGGGAACGAGATTGATCACTTGGTATTTTAAATATTCTATTGGGAAAAACCTCTCGGATTCTTTTTTCTTGTTGCAAAACTTCTAAAGGTAGGGCAGGTAGGGTTTTTTTTGTATTTCTTTTTTTAAATGCTCATTTTCTCACTCATTTCTGTGCATGTTTTCCATCTGTACTCTAGCTTTTCTTGGTTCTTACACATTAATATTACAAAAGAATCATTGGGATGAAATAATCATATCTATATGTTACATTTACAATTTGAATTAATTCCTGAGAATACATCATTATCTGCACAATAAATTTAGAGCAGCTTCCAAATCTATACCTACAACTTACCATTAAAATAAATGCAGAGTTAAAGTTTTCCTGTAATTTTTCTGTTATTTTGTATGCATAAACATCGGGACTGAAAGCCAAAAATATAATATCTTAAAACTTGGTCTGACAGAACAAAATTTGATGAAATGTAAGTACTATGTATAAAACATATGGATGGGAGTTATCCATAAATGTAGAAACCGCATTTTCAGGTACCTGTTATTGTCTAGACATTGGTTAGCCTGGTAATACCCAACAACTTGCAATTTATTACTTTTGCAATATGCATCAACCTAAACACACACATATATATTGTTGAGATTCATTGTACTGTGGGCTGGAGGTTCTGCTCGGAGTGTAAACCATGTGATTCTTTGCACAATACAAACTTTCTACACTGGCCAATACCAGGGACGTTGTGAAGGCATCAACATTGGGGGGGGGGTTTTGAGGGGGAGGTCGTCAAAAAAAATTTTCGGACTAAGATAAAAAATTTTCGGACTAAAATTACGAACCATTTCATAATTTTCGGCAAATTCGACCATCTTTTATATCAAACTTTGACCAAATTTTCCCCAGTTTTACCTTTACCTATCAGTTCCATTTTGACCAACTTTGGGCAAATATCACTTCCATTTTGACCAACTTTGACCAACGTTTGAATTATTGGGGGTGTTACATCCCCCCTATAGCGACGTCCCTGGCCAACACCACTGTGGAAAGTTGGTATCATGCAATGTGAGATAATACTGGACCTCATTAGCTTTAACAAGATGGTAGCAACAACTGTAGAACATTGGCCTTTATATACCATCCCCATGCTCAGGTCCAGTACACCCTGTGCCTTTTGGTCTATAGGTGGTGTGCAAGTTTATACATCGCCATGTTGGATGACATTGACATTGACAATGGGATTTTGCTTGTTCGCAATGCAAATTTCTTCCAACATGGCAAAATTTTCTTTATCATTTGAATACCATGTGAGTGGTTGCACATCACCTATACTCCGACTACTAGCCAGGCACTGAACTGAAATCGCCACGAATCTCATTAATTGACGCGGTCAAAGGCTGGTATTGTAGCTTATTATGCAAATATTATCGCCTAAAACATATGATAAAAACGACGTCAAACCTGTGTAAGTGCAACCTCCATCATGGGCGCCAAACCCAGGGACAAATGAAACAACGGCACAGCGTCCAAAACATCAATTTTACTGTCTGAATTTTCACGTGCTATCACCACGCCACAGACGGCCTTGTGTGGGTATTTACTGGCATGGAGGAGAATTTTAGAATATGCTCTCGAAGAAATAGTAACTTTCATTGTGTTTGGTTGTTTCAAAATCATGAAAGAAAGCAAATTAGAACAAAAATATTTATAATAGAAATTTAAAGCCACGCGGCGGCCATATTGAAAAGTACAACATATACCCATACGGAGAAAAGATACCGGGGATTGTCACCAGATTTTTGAATATCTTTGAAATTCCTTTGCTCACTCCCAAAAATTAATTTTTCTGTGGTTTGAATCTAATTTCTGTTCTATAATGTCAAGTTCCTTCATGTTTAGACATTAGAGCAGTTGAAGACAGATATTCATAAATTGATAAATTTTCAAAAACCTTGAGTTTCTCACCGGGGTTTTGTAACCACGAAAATAACCTCGGGCTTATTAAAATTCAATATGGCGGCCAAGTCGGTACTTTGTTTTTGTTGTTTTGCTCGAAATACGCGATTTAAATACAGTTCTTTGAAGCTGTTCAGCAGAAATGTGGGTTACTTTGCAGCACGACATATTGTGCCATCTACATGTGGAGTTTTATCCACCCAAAGGCAATTGTTTCAGAATAACAAAGCCATTTCCCCTGGCCAGGTGCTGTCAGGTAAATATGCTGCATCAAATATGTACAGTACAGTCCTCTTTCTGTGTACATTGAAGTGTGCATGTAAGTGAGGAAAAATACACACACAACTTTAGTTTTGAAATAAATTCTCTTTCTTGAAATATCAAATTTTGTCAGTGCAAAGTGCACTGTCAGATATATATTTATAAATGCATATTGCGTCATTCTTAAAAAAATTGCACATCAGCTTGAAAAATGCGTACGGAATTAACAAATCTCCGATATAAGCATTCTTGATGGGCTTATACATATGGGGGCTTATACATAGGTGTATGGTGCCTAGGGGGGGGCAGGAGAGTAGCCCCCCCCCCCCAGTCAAGATGAAGTCAGGCAAATTATAAATGTAATGCACCTATCATTGTTTTCCCCCTGAGGGGGGGGTGCGGGCGACCCAGGGGACTTTGACCACACTATGAAGCCCTAGTGAGGGGAATTTGACCTATGCATCAACTCCCATAGTCGGGAAATTTTGACATCCGCCATCTTGAAAGTTTGCGCGGTTTTGACATTGGGTCATTCCAGAAAAGATCCATACCCCCCCTACGGAGGAAATCGAAAATAACCCCCTCCCCCCCTTCGGACATCCTTGAATGGTTCATCCTCCCCCCCTCTCCGGACATCCAAGCCCAAAATTACCCCCCTCCCCTTCGGACATCCACTATTTCTAAATTTTTCTAAAGGCTACCTCGCCGTTTGAAAACGTCACCGAAAATTAGACTACGTTCACACTACGCGCGAGCGAACTAATGCGGGCAGAATTTACGTGTGTTCATACTACCGCCATTACAGTTTGTTTACAAATTGAATTAGCACTCGTGTAAACCCAAAATATTTCAAATAGACCCAAGAAATTTAACTGAAAAGCATTCAAGTTTACACGTTTGTGTTCACACGAAGCTATCAAGCGCTCCGCCGTTTTCACCTCGCTCCGTTTAGAAACCGTGCTCAAATTGTTACGGCAAAAGTGACGTGAAAGTTTTCAAACGATTTGCTCCAGCGTAGAGTGAATTAGCGATGGCTTATTGTGACTTTTCTACGCTGTTCTCAAATAGCTCTGGCGTGGCGGAACACTTGGCGGCTTCTTGTGACTTGCGAACACAAACACGTGGCAGGTTTTGTCGGATAATTTGCAGAAATTCACTTCGAAATTCGTTCAAGTAAAATTCGGACTGAAATTCGATGTAACTTGCGACTGATTGACAAGCGTTGCTATGTTTACTTACATGTTAATGCATTTTTTAGTATTACTGCATTCCTTAACTCGCCCTTAATATGAAAGCCATTTCTATTTTCTAGATACGCACCTCGCAAGGAAGCTTTATTGACTATATACTAAAACAAACTGTTTTGAGTTCAGTTCACATAGCAGTCTCTTAACTCGAGCAACAGTTTAATAACTATTATTTTTAACACTTGAATAATTCAAACTTATATATATACGAACGAAAACTGCAAACTATATAAATAAAGCGTGTCAATTTTCGACTCATTCTCAACATGCAGGATACGCTGTTACAGCGAGTTAGTTTTTGGTGGCCATGCATGCAAAAGTGGGCCGCTTATTTTGCTTACAAGTTACGTGGATGTATAATTATTGCTGTTACATAAACGTTCCGGTGTTCAACTCAAGAGCTGCATATATATAGCCGATAAAAATTGCGTGCTCATTATAATCGCCGATCACATGGCTTTATCACAGTCTCAAACCTTCAGACAAACATATCCACATTCCTCTCCCCCCCTTCGGACATCCTAAGACATTTTTCCTCTCCCCCCCTTCGGACATCCTAAGACATTTTTCCTCCCTCCCCCTTCGGACAGCAAAAATTTCCTCCGTGGGGGGGTATGGATCTTTTCTGGAACGACCCAATCGGATAGCTACAGTAGTTCTACTGCCTACACATGCTTTTGTGAACATTTTGACCCTTTGAAAAGAATAAGGCCTAAAAAATATACTGTGGTTCCGGTTTCATATCGCGAAACAATTAGGGTAGGTAGGTCGGAAATAAATTTTTTAAAAGATTTTTTTCATGGTTTTGGCATTTTTTTGCTGGGCGATTTTCAGTAGAGTCCTGACATCAATATTAATTAACTAGAGGCCTAATTTAAATTTGGACTGCTTATACTACAGAGGTACAGTAGCGTCGCTCTGTTTAATACTCCCAGTGGTAGCACCACACCGATTATCTAAATTCATCCAAATATGATGAAAAAAAATAACATGGGAAGCACATGTGGGTGGCAGTAAACAAGATCTAGCCAACAATATAGAACTCAGAAATTAGTGGTGGGAATATTTAGCTTTCAAAACCTCATCAACTTCTCATGTCGCTTAATGTAGTTTTCAAGGCTGGATACTAGGCTTTCAGTCCCAGTTCTTAAATACGCACTTAACTCTGCTTGATGTAGCTGTCCATCAACGTATATTTTGAATTATTTTCAGGCCTTATATATAGATTTTGTCATGAAAAAACCATGTGTTTCATGCACTTTATACTCATTGGAATTCTGTATAATTTTACCTCCCAAAATGCTGGAAATTGCACTTCAGGGACGCTAAATTTCAAAACTTTCCCAGGGGTACATGTATGCCCTTAGATACCCTTGAGGTGTCCCCGTCTCCAGCACTTGACAACCCCCCCCCCCCTCCCCAACTTTCTACCCTGGTGCTACTGATCGTGATGGCCCCCTAAGACTATCAGAGGCTGTGCTGGTGTGCGTCAACGTAGGTCAAGTTGAATGCTGGCCAGGCCATCAGAGTTGATCTCAGACATCAGCTGTATCATTTTTCATCAGGCATCAACTAATAGCCTGACAATTTAATATTTTAATAACACGAATAAACTGCTGGCATAAACTTTCTCAACCACTTAGAGAATAGAGGCCAGTGGTCAGGCAGCTACGCACTAGGAAAACTTCTAGCTGTACTTTTCGTCTTGAGCAGAGCTAATTTATAATGCCTTTATGTGATAGTGCGCCAGCAGGCCAAAACTCAGGTAGTATCACTGCCATTCCTACACACACTTTTGTTGAGCGCTCTTTGTAACAAAAAATACAAAACAAAGTTCGCAGTAACCTCCTACCTTAACGTTTTCTACTTGAAGTCTGTGGTTGAGAAATTATTTACGACCTCAAATATATTCTCGAGTGAACTGCTCACAGACCACATTGCTTTATTTGCTTGTTGCGTCGGCCGACTTATTCAATTTCAGCCAACTTTCGATTCACGTTTTGCCGTAAATATCCATTAATATCGTTATTTCTATGCATGGAAAGTTCCTTGCTTCACTCTTCTTCCTATTTTAATACAATTTAGTTTTTAAAACGCATTGTAACATGTTCGATTGAGTTGGATCGTCCAATTTATATTTTCGAATTTTCGCGAATTTCCCATTCAAAGTTTGAAGGCAGTACTTCATCTTACAAAGATATTTTGGATCCGTACCAGCTTCTTCGCCAGGCGCTTTGAGTTTTCTTTCTTGAACACAAAGAAATTTTTAAAAAAAATTATAGACTCGTCGAACCAAATTGAAGTCTTCCAGACGATGCTTCCCAAATCCTAATGGGTCACTGGCACTGATCTGAAATAAGACTGGATAACGCATCTATAGTATACAAAAGTGAAGCCGGAAGTCACCGACTGCCACCCGATTCTGGGGCCCCACTTTTGTACAGATTTGTATTACAGACGGTAGTTTTTCGCGTTTTTTTGCCTTGGCTACGTTTCCGATCGGGCCAATTTTACAATCACAACGATAGAAGCATACAAGAAGAATTTTGAGCAAAAAATTTGGAGTATTATGGCTTTTTAGTATAATTACATAGGTGATTATTGAAAATTCTCCACGTTGATTGGTTGCCGTTGAGGTGATTATTACGCGATAATCACCTAAGCGATTTTCAAAATGGCGGCCGAAGCCTTTTTGTCAATTAAATGACGAAGAAATGTGTATTCTCTTATTTTTTTCCCAAATAATCACCTATGAAATTATACTAAAACAATTATTCACCTCAGGCTCGGTGATTATCGTGAATAAAAACATCGACTTCGTCTCGGTTTTTATTCACCGATAATCACCTCGCCTTCGGCGAATAATTGTTAAATAACGCCGCGAAACGGGATTTAGAACTCTGAAGGAGTGGAGAGCCTCAGACTTTGTTTATCAACATGAGCTCGTTTTGCTACTTTCATACAAAATCAACTCAGAATATACAAGAATTATTGTTACTGGACGAATATTCTCACGAAATTTGAAGAAATGAAGCAGCTATATTGTGAACGAAAGCGTACAGAGGTTAGACTTTGTTTATCAACACGAGCT